GAGCGTCTCCGGGTTGCGAGCGCCCCCTGCTGCCGCCCGCGTGCTGGGACAGTCCGCGCTCCTGGAGGCGCTGAAAAGGCCCAGCCCAAGTGGGAAGCGGCTGTTCAGCCTGGGGTTTACGATTTCAGTTTTCCTGTTGCCGCTTCACTTTGCTCCATTGCGGGCAAAGGTGGTAAGAAGGAAACTGGCGTGGACTCGAAGCAGCAGCTGAGACAGGCTAAGGTTTGCATGGGGTCATGACGATCGCCAGCATTTTGACCAATGGGAAGAGGAGGTCGCTGCCCTGGTGCACAGCGGGGAGATCCAGTGCCCATGAGGGATGAGGTCTTTTTCTGGCAGTTCAGAAAAAGCCGGTCTCAGGAGCAGCGATGAAGGGAGGAGCTTCCCTGCTCCCCCACCCCGTACCCTTGGGGTGGCGGTGGACAGAGGAGTGGGTGAGAAGAAATTGCACACTAAGCCCCCGCCCCATGCCCGCCCTTAAAGAGCTGTTGAGCTACTCTCTGGCTCAGGTACCCTCCTCCCCCGGCACTGTCCCTGCAACACCAGCACCAGCCTGGGCAGCTCGGAGCACTTGCTTTTTTGTGGCCCCGGAAGCCATAAACCCGGGCTGGACATAGTGATGTGCAGCTCATGGCCCTGCAGAGCATCGTCTGTGTGGGTAGGCATCAATCCATCTCTGAAAGTGGGGTCTCCCCCAAGCCCCCAACATGAGCCAGCCTACCCACCAGAGCTCCACCCCCGGCCTGCCCACTTCCATGGAAACAAGATGTGTGGCCTCTGGGTGCCCACACAGTCTTGCCCCTACCCAGGCTCAGACAGGGAGCAGCCCAGACCAGTCACTTGGCCACGTGCTGCCAGAAGGTTTCTCCTTGATCTCCTGCTGACCCACCCTCCTGCCCTGCTACCCTGCTGACTGTGCTGAGGCCTTGCCCCTGCCCACTCCAGGTCTCACCAGAGAGGTTTTAGGGATGGGTTTCCCACTGTACGGACCTGGGAGGGCCTGCACCCACCTTCACCAGTGATGGAGATACCCCAGTCATCCCTTCACTGAGGAAGGGTGAAGGTGGCGGTGAGGGACTGGGAACAGCCACTAAAGCAATTTCCTGCCTGTCCCCATTGCTCCTGCAGAATCTGGACACCCTCAAGGAGTACCTTTTCACCACCCCCAACATGCACACCTGGGCCTTCCTTGAAGGGGCAACTCCAGTTCTACCAAGTGCCAGGCCATGCTGGGCACCCTTGTTGGGCACCAGCCCAGGTGGGCATAGCCCAGAGGAGAGTCTGCAGATAGGCAGAAGTGGGAGATGCTCACCTGAAGCTGGAAGGGTGCCCCAGGCTCTGTGAGCTCTGTTGCTCACCTCCTCCCAACCCCCCAACGAGGGCTGTGTTGGGGACCTCCAACTGTTCAAGATGGTGGGTGCTACTGCTAAGGCTGCTCCCGCCTATGGCTTTCCATCTCCCCCCTACAACAGGGCTGCAGGTGCCCCAGCAAGTCTTCCACTCTTCCCAAACTGGATCTGACTTCCACTGTCATCCTGTTCCACCAGCAGAGGCAGAGTTCAGCATCTACATGGGGAAGGGGACAATCAGGACCCTGCTTCACCAGCTGCTGTTGCCCGTTTGTTCTGAGACCCCTCCTGATGTGCTCTTCCAGGTTGACTCACCTGTCACCACCCTCCCAGGCAGAGGAAGGGCCCCTTGTCTCCAGGTTTCCGGATGCCATGCACACAACACCTCTTTCACATGAGCACATCGTATCTAGACCGGGTGCCATGGGGTCACTGCCTCTGCCCCTCCATTAGAGCAAATGTCACTTCCCTGTCCTCACATCTGGCCCAGGGTTGTTGGGTGGTGCGGGACAGTGGCAGCAGGTCTGATATACATGGGCGCTGACAGATCGTGCCCAAGGGATGGTGCCCAAGGGATGTCCTTGGAGAGAGGAGCCCTAGGGAAAAGGTGACCTAGCACATAAGCAATTGCACTTTTTTCAAAGGATGATAAGACAGTTGTCCCTGCCCTGGCTGACACAGCCTACGGAGACGCGGGGCATCTTAGGTGAAAGCCCTGGAGTTACTTCTTCTCCAGGCCTGAGAGGCGAGGTGGTGGCCCAGATCTCCCAGGGTGCCCCAGCGGCTCCCAGGACTGACCCCCGTGGGGCTGCACACCCTACTTCCCCAGAGGCCCCAGCCTCTCCAGTCCCTGGGACCCTCTTCCCAGAACGCCCTGCGTGACCTTCCCCTTCCCAGCCCCTAGAGTCATCCTCTCCCTGTCATTAGTCACCTGGCGAAACCCCAGCCCCCTCCGTCCGACCTCAGTCATCCTCCCGCATCCTGCTGTTGACCAGCATCTGCTTTTTCCGGAGTGAAACACACGGCATCGACCGGCTTGGCTTGCAATACACCACCAGTGTCTCCGGACTCCCCCAGGACGCTGCCCGCCCCCTCTAACCTCCCAGCCTCTCCCCACCCCCAAGGCCTGCTCAACCCCACTCCCTGCACCCACCTGCCCTGAGCTCAGACTCTTGCCTCTGTTAGAGGGGCAGGTCCTTTGGGGCCTCAGTCGCCCCCTCTCCTCTGTCACTGCCTCCCGTTCACAGGCCGGTCCTCCCGCCCCTGTGCCTCCAGGCTCGGTCCCTGATCCTCCTGCTCTCTCCAGAGCCCCCAGGGAGAAGCCCCTGCAGCTGGCCCTGCACATCCACTCCCGCTGGGTCACCACAGGCCAGGCCTGTCTCTGGCTTCTCTTGGTTTCTCAGCAGGACGGGATGCGGGGGACCACTCCCTTTTCTTGGAACACTCAGGGTTTTTTTGTTTGTTTGTTTGTTCTTTCTAGATATACATGACAGAGTGTGTTTTGACATATGGAGTACAACTTATCCTAATTAGGATCCCATTCCTGTGGCTGTGCATGATGTGCAGTTACACTGGTCACGTATTCACAGATGCACATGGCATAGTGATGTCCAGTTCATTCTACTGTCCTTCCTAGTCCTGTTCCCCTCCCTTCCCTTCATTCCCCTTAGTCTAATTAACTGAACTTCTATTTTTCCCTCCCGACTCCCTGACTGTGAGTTAGTATCCACCTATTAGAGAGAACATTCAGCCTTTGTTTTTGTTTTTTTGTTGTTTTGTTTTTTTTTCGGGGGGACTGGCTTATTTCACTTAGCATGATATTCTCCAGATCCCTCCATTACTGCAAAAATCAGAAAGATCTTCTTTATGGCTAATATTCCATTGTGTATATGTACCACATTTTCTTTTTCCATCTGTTGAAGGGCATCTTGGCTGGTTCTATAGTTTTGCTACTGTGAATCGGGCTGCTATAAACACAGATGTGCCTGCATCACTATAGTATGCTGACTTTAAGTCCCTTGGGTATATGCTGAGGAGTGGAACCCTGGGTCAAATGGTGGCTCCATTTCTAGTTTTCTGGGAATTCTCATGGTTCTACGTCTTCCTGAGAGCCCACTGCTTCTCAGCTCCCTCTCAGTGGTTCTGGGAATGACATTCCCATCTCCCCACGAGGGACACTTGGCACCGCCTGGAGATGCCTTTGACTGTCCCAACTCCAAGCCAAAGACGTAGCTGAACATCCCAGGGTATAGTGGACAGCCCCACAGCAGGAACCTCGGGTGGTTTGTCTAGCCCCATGACTCCGTGACTCCCATTTGCTGGAGGCTGACCACACTGTAGCCTGCTCTCCTGCCTGGCCTCCACCCCAGCCTGCCCGCTGGGCCCACCTGCTCCCCACCCATCCAGTGCGGTCTTGCAGCCGACTCAGACCTAAGCATAGTCGCTTCCCCATCCCTGCCCTCCCTATGGCTCACAGGGCTGTGGCACTGCTGTCCCCGCAGGCTCACGCCCTCACCCACTGCACACAGCTGCAAGTGCTTCTGCCTCCACCCCCAAACCCTCCAGCGCACGGCTTCCGTCCATCTCTGCAGCCCACGTCACTTATTTGCATGACTGCAGTGGCCAACTGCTCTGCTGCCCAACTGATTTCCAAGGAGCATCTAGGAGGACTTTGAAACCTCCTGCAGTACCCCCTGCTGCTCTGGGAATAAAACCCTCCCCAGCTCCACCTGACCTGTCCTGTTCGCTCTCTGCCCCTTTAGTTCAGGTAATGGCTGAAATGTCACATCCTCAGAGGGCCCTTCCTGACCAACAACCTAAAGGAGGGCTCCTCCCCTGTCACTTGTCAATAGCAGAAGCCTTGCTTGCCAGATTATTCCCCCAGCCCTCTCTTCACCACTGAGGAGCTTCCTGAGAATATTAACACTTCCTTGTTAACATGGAACCCACAAGAGCCTGCCTGGCCCCTAACACTCAGTGTTTGCTGAATGATTGAATGGACTGATGAGTCCACTAGCTCCATGGCTGGGGATCGTGGGAGGGGAAGCTAGCTCCTGGGCTTGGTTAACCCCCCAGGGCCTCTCATCACCCAGGCTGGGGCCTGTAGAATAGGACTGGGCCCAGAGCTGGCCGGGGCTCTGCAGTGGCAGGTGGCTTCCCGGAGGAGGGCATAACGGCAGCTTTTCCATGACTACCTCCGAAGAGGGAGGCCTCCAGCCTCCCCAGCCCCATCTTTGGAGAATCCAGATGGAGATCAAGAGCCCCTTCCTACCGGGTCTCCCACCAGGCAGCCTGAGAGCTAGAGCAGGGGGCGGGGGCTGGACATGGTACAAAGCACACCAACTCCTCTGAACCAGCGGCTCCCAGAGAGTCCAGCCCCGTCTAGGGGCCTGGCGCGGCCACTCAGAGGCTAATAGGTCCCCAGGCAGTCACACTTATTTCTGATCGCTGGGGTGCTACCGCACTGCCTGTATCCTAGGGTGGCCCAGGGCCTCTGCCTGGGGTCTCCTAGGGTGCTGCCACCTTCTAGGAGCACCCATTCTGATATCAACACTGACCCCTCACCCCAAGTCCAGAGACCTGAAAAGGGGCACCCCCCCCCCGGCAGGGACCTTCCCTGAAGCTAATGCCCAAGACTGGGCCCTTGTTCCATTTTAGGGAACTCTAGACTGAAACCCCCAAGATAGACTGGGGACAGAGGCTGCAAAGGTCCATGAGCATGGCCCTATGTCCCCCGGTACAGTCTCAGCACTGACCACTCCAGGAGTCTGGCCACATCCAAGTTCTCCCCAGAACTGGAGGCCAAGCCTCATCCTCCAGCTGCTTCCTCTGTGCGCCTCCCTGAGCAGGTCCACAGCCTTCGGAAGATTTTCCTCCTCTGGAAAGTGGGTCAACCCCACCACCGTCCCTCCCAGGGCAGCCAGGAGGGTTGACGGTTCCCACACACGTGGGGTGATCAGCACAGCATGGCTTATGCAGCAAGCACCCAACTTTATTTCTGTTTTCCCCCCAAATAGCTGAGGGTCCCAATATCACTGGCTCCTGCTCCCCTCCCACCCCAACACGGGGCTTCTTCGACCCGACAGGCTCTAGAACCGCACCCCTGGGGACTGGGGGCTCCTGGCCCAGACCCACCCACTGGCACACAAGACTTTCTCTGCTCCTGACTCAGACCTCCCAGGGAAGGCCCCAAGCTTGGGGAGGAGAGGGAAGCATGGCTGGGGGTCAAGCAGCCCATGGCCACCAGGGCCTCCTCTGGCCGAGCTCTTGAAGGGCGAGGCTCCCTGGAAACCGTGATCTGGGTGATAAGCATCCAGTCCCCTCGGGTCTGGGTTCTAGCTGGGGTTCCCACTGGGTGGCCCTGGTGGGGCCTCACCTCTTCCTGGTCTTCCCACAGGTGGTGCCCCAAGGCCACCGTCCTCCTGCCCTGCAGGGGAGAGAACTGGGCTCTCGGAGCTTCCTGGAGAGCAGAGCTGGAGACCAGAGGCTCAGCCTCTGGACATCAGCGACGGGAGGCTGTTCCAGGGGCAGAGCCAGAGGACTCCCCGCTGAGGCCTGACCAAGGCAGAGGGAGGGCAGCACCATCTAACCATGATGGGGGGGGGGGTGCTGGGGCTCAGCTACAGGAGGCTCCCAGGGGCCTTCAGGGCTGGAACTTCCTCACCCCTCCCAGGATCCTGGCCCTGGAGAATGTCACCTCCCATTCTCTGCATCCTCCAGGCTAGAGCAAAAGTCAAGGGCAAGCAGAGCTAGGCCTGCCTTCCCCCAGGACAGAACCTGAGGGTCACTCTGTCCCTAGGCCCTTGGGGAACACAATGGAGAGAGGACAGAGGGACTGGCCTGGCCTCAGAGAGAGTGGCCAGGTGGGAGGATAGAAGACAGGGATGCTGCCCAGAGGGACAGAAGGTTGGTGAATCCGTTCTTCCAGGCAGAACCTGTGCTCCCCATTTGGGAACAGAGGCCACAAGCTCAATCTCTGGACATTCCTCTGAAGGGACTTCTGGGGACATAGTCCCCTGGCAGAGCTGGGCTCCCCAGAGCAGGCGCTGGCTGGTCTCTGGCCTCTGGGAGTGGGTGTACGGTGGCCTCTGGGGCCAGCCAGGGCTGCTCTAGAGCAATGCCAGGCACTCCTGCTGCGGGGCCTGGGGAAGCAGCCAGAGTCTGAGGGGGTCTCGCCAAGGCCTCCACACGGAGCTGCCTCCAGGCAGGGAGCTGCCCACTGTGTGGGCTCTCCACAGACCCGGCAGCTACACGCTGTCCTCCAGGCCTCGGGCCGTGGGTATCAGGGCTCCTGGGTCCTACCAACAGTGCCTCCAGAAGTCTTTGCAGGTGTGGCCTGGAGTCAGGGGTAGGACTCCGACCATCGCTGTCCTCCTGGAACCCTGCAGAGGAGGGACAGGAGGTCAGGCCCAAGAGTCAGAGCGAGAAAGTCGATGTTCAGCTGCAAAGAGCCAGAGCCGGCTCCAGCATGCTCCAGGGTGCCCAGGTCAGCTCACAGGGGCGATGACCAGCCAGTCCTGCTGAGCCGCTGCCCGATACCCTCAAGACCCACATTTCTGCAGTCCCAGGGACTAGGACAACAGAGCCACCCCTCCCTCCCCACATGGCCCCTGAAATCACCACCAGGAGACCCCACTGTTCAGATCGGTGACCTCCCCATTGTGCCCATCTGACCTATCACCAGAGCCTTCACCTTCTAGGCCCTTCCTTGGGCTGCTCCGTACAACCACCCCTGACCTCTTCCATCTGAAGGCGCCTCTAGAGCCATTATTATAGCCATGGCCAAGCCCCAGGAGGACACCAGGAGGACATGGCCGAGTGCCCTCAGGTCCTCCTTGACCCACTCCAGCCACTCACTGCTGTGTGAAGCTCTTCCCTACTTTAGGCCCTAGTGATGTGGCCTGTCCCTAGGCTCCTCTCCACCCTGTCACTCCTGCCCACACAAAGGCTCCCAGTCAGCCCTCCCTGCCGTCCGCAGCAATGGCTGATCACACACACCAGCCACCCCTCCCGCCCAGTCCCATCGTCCTCACAGCCCACACTGTCCCTCTGGACCTGGCCCAGCATCCGAATCCACTACCACCTCCTAGGCCTCCACTCCACGGCAGCCCCCTACATCCAGACCTCAAATGTCACAGGGCCTCGGCCCCCCCAAGTCCACCAGGGGATCCTGTCTTTCTCTGCAGCCTCCGGACTTCCAGACCCCTCCCCTCCCCTGGCTCGATCTTGCTGAGGACATATCTCCTCCTCTCTCCTCCGTCACACAGCCAAACCCCAGGCCTGGAGGTGGGGCAGCCTCCCGTCTCCGGCACCAGCCTCTGACCTGCCACAGGTCTCTACCAGGTTTTGACTCCTCTTTAGTCAGCCACTGTGTGCCTCTTCCTTCTCGTCCCTCCCCTCATCCCCTCAGCTGGAAGCCTCACCTTGCTGTCCAACGGGACCCTCCGATTCCTCATCTCCAGGTCCCCATGAGGGCCCAGGTCCTCGCCTGTCTTCCTTTCTATTAAGTACAGGGACACTCCTTAGCTCCCACCAAGGACAGCGCCTCTGAACATTCTGGATGATCTTCCCTCTTCCTCCTGAATCCACCCCGTCTCCTTCTCCAGTGAGTCATCGTCTCAACACCCAAACATGCCCACGCGGCCACCATCTTGATAAAACTTCCCCTGGCAAGGCCTTCCAGCACCTCCCAATCTCTGCTCCTCATGAAAGTCTAACCTCTAGAATCACCTACAAAGCCCTTTTTGTTATTTTGAGGGGTGTTGAGGGTTGAACTTAGGGCCTCATGCATGCTAGACAACTGAGCTACATCCCTAGGCCTGTGCTCTTTAATTTTTTTTAAAAGAAAGTTATGTAATATTTGATACTGTGAAATGTTATGTAGGGGGAAATAATCTAAGAAATGGTGCTGCAACATCTAGATAACTACATGAAGGATTAAGGATGGACCCCTTCCTCACACCATACACAACCCAAAAGGATCACAGACCTCAATGTAAGACCTAAAACTAATGCTCTCAGAAAAAAAACAGGCATAAATCTTCACAGCCCTGGGCTAGGCCAAACCTTAGACATGACACCAAGAGCACGGTGGTGAAAAAGTTGATAAGCTGGACCTCACAGTTAAGTCTTAGTGTTCAAAGATCACCATTTAGAAAGCGAAATCAATGTGGCTGGGTACAGAGACACACACACGTAATCCCAGTGACTCAGGAGGCTGAGACAGGAGGATGTGAATTCCAAACCAGCCTCAGCAACTTATCAAAGCCCTGTCTCTAAATAAAATATAAAAAAGGGCTGAGGCTAGGTTTCAGTGGTAAACACCCTGGGTTCAATCCCTGGTACCAAAAAATAAAAATAAAATAAAGAAAAAGACCTACCCGTAGAATTTGGGAAAACATTTTCAAATGATAAAAACTGATAAGACACATGTATCCAGAATATACATTTTTAAAAAAAACTTAGAATTCATCCAAGAAAAGACAACCCAACTGAAAAATAGGGAAAACTCTGGATAGAAATTTCTACCCCCCAAAAAAGATATACAAATGACAAATACATAAATACATTCAACATCATTAATCAGAGAAATGCAAATCAGAACACAAGATACTTTCACCCCCATTAGGATGGTTATATTGAAAGATCACAATTGTTGGCAAGGATGTGAAAAACTGATTCTCTCTTGGATTGCTGGTGGGAATGATAAATGGTGCAGTTGCTTTGAAAACCAGTTAGCAATTCAGTATAGAGTCAGCATAGGGCCCAGCAATTCAGTCCCTAAGTACATATCAAAAAGAAATAGACATAAGTTCACAAAAAATCTTGCATGTGAATGGCCACAGAAGTACTATCCATAGTAGACAAAAAGTAGAAACCCAAATGTTCATCAAGTGATCACTGAATCAGTAAAATGAGAATGTCACTCAGCAATGAAAAGGAATGGTAAATGCTACAACATGGTGCTCCCTAAACATTATGCTAAGGAAAATGAGCCAGACAGAGGGAGTGATGTACACCCCCATTGGTAGGGTGTAAACATTACCTGTGGTTCCACATCCTGACCAGAATCTGGTATTATTGAGGTTTTAGACTTCTGCCAATTCAGGGAGGGGAAATGGTATTGTGTCTTCATTTGCACTTTCTCAGTTACTAATGAGGCTGAGAATTGTATTTTTTCCCCCTTATTTGATTTCTTCCAAGATGTCTGTTAAACATCTTGTCCATTTTTCTATTTGTTGGTTTGTCTTTTTCTTATTATAGTTCTTTGTGCATTCTGTATACAACCACTTATGTGTTGCTCAGAATCTCTTCCAGTTTGTAATCTGTATATTTGCTTTATTCAATGGTGTCTCTTGATAAATCGCAGTTATTATGGTTAATGTAGTTGAGATTATGAATCCTCCTAGTTTTAGGGGTAGGATTGTCTATCTTATTTAAGAAATCCTTCCATATCCCACAGGGAAGACATCTTCCTAGGTTTTCTTCTAGAAGTTTTTTTTCCTCTCCATTTACATGGAAGTCTTTCTTGTACATCAAGAAATCAATTCCTAACTCATATCATGTACAAATTTCATTAGGTAGAAACCTAGTTGTCCCAGAACCATCTAATGACCAATATGTTATTTCCCTTGTGATCATCAATGCCCCTTATGGAGGTCCCACTTGAGTCAAAGCCATTTCTGAACTTTCCATTCTGTTCCATGGGCAATTGTCAATCAATTGTCAATCAATCCTTGATCTCCATTTAAAGATACTTTATATACTATGTATTTTATAACACATTTGGAAGCATATATATATCTATGTTTTGTATACTTTAGATACTTCATAAACTATGACAACATGTGCTAAGGCAAATTCCTCTGCTTATTTTTCTTCAGGACTGTCTTGGCTATTATTGGCCTCTCATATTTCTATATAAATTTTAGAATCACCCTGTCAATATCATCAAAACTTGTTGGAATTCTGAATGGGAATTTATTGAGTCTATAGAGCTACTTGAAGAGATGTGAATTTTTGAAACATTTTCTTGGGCTGGGGATGTAGCTCAGTACCAGAGTTCTTTCTTGGCATGTGAAAGCCCTGGGTTCAATTCCCAGGAACACACACACAAAAAAAAATAGTCTGCTTATCAATAACTGATACATACCTAAATTTTGGGGGGGGGTTGTTTGTTTTGGTACTGGGGACTGAACCTGGGGTTACTCTACCACTGAGCTACATTCCCAGCCTTTTTTATCTTGAGATAGAAGGTCAACCTAAACAATTTAGCAAGACCCTAAGTTGCTGAGGTTGACCTCAAACTTGCAATATTCCCACCTCAGTCTCCCAAGTTGCTGGGATTACAAATGTGCACCATCAAACCAGTTTCTATGTATTTAAGTATTCTTAAAATAAGTGTTTTCCTCCATTAGAAGTTTTATATAGCTTGTGACACTTTTATTCCTCAGGGCCTTGTTTTTATTAGTATCAATGCTATCTTTCTCAAAAGTTGTATTTTCTGAGGGTAAATAGAAGTATAATTGATTCTGATGTAATGATTACGTTTACCTTTTAAAATTACCATAGTCACCGATGCAGATTTTTCTGTTTTTAATATAATTAGGATTAGTGACAATTTTTATTTCCCTTATAGTCCTCAAACTTCTTTTTCTTGCCATATTGCAATGGCTAAGACCACCACTACAATGTTTAGTAGATGGCACAATAGTGGGAAATTTTGTCTTGGTCCTAGTTTAATGTTTTAACATTAAAGATGATTTTGCTCTAGGTTTTTGGTAGACTGCATTTCTTCTATTTCCAGTTGCTAAAAGGTTTTAATCACAAGTGAGTGTTAACTTTTCCAAATGCTTTCCCTACATCAATCGTGGTAGTCCTCTCGTCACCTCATCGTCTCCCCTCTGCAACCTCAACTTCTACCACTTTACCCTCCCTGACCCCACTTCAGGACCAGAGCCTTCTCCAGCCCAAGTCACCCTCCCGTGTCACTCACCTCTCCCGTGGGACTCGGGGACACTTGGGCTGCAGTCATAGAGCCTGCGGACTCGTGTGATATCCGAGGCACTGAGGTTCCATCGCTGGCCAATGTGGACACTGGGGGCCCAGAGTGGTGTGATGGTAGGCTGCCCACGCCGGCTGAAGGCAAGCCTGGAACCCCAGGATGGGGCAAAGCCGAGTCACACTGGGGCTGGGAGGACAGGGCAGGGGAAGGAAGTACAGAAGAGGGATGCTCACCTCCCGTAGTGCAGCACTGACGAGTAGTCATAGGGCGCCAGCATGTTGCTGCTCCGAGATTTGATGAAGTTGATTTCAAAGCCTTATTTTTAAAAAAAAAAATGCAATCTGGAGATATATAAAAAGAACCAGTGGCAGGCACTGACAACCCACTTAGCTGTGGTTTCAGACCTTCAGCTTAAGTGTGTAATTTCCTGCACTGGTTCTGGCCTTCTGTACCCCTTCCTGCTCACCCCCAGCCCTGGAAGGGATCCAAATCCATACCAGGTGATGCAGAAGCAAGGGACATGTGGCTGTCCAGGGACATGCACCTACCAGTTCTCCCTACCTCTCCTTCTCAAAGTCACCTTGTATGGGTCGAATCTTTGCAGACCCCCTGCTTCTATGAAGTCACATGCTGTTCAGTGTCCTGGATGCCCTGCTCCATCTACTCCTTGACCCAGCGTTAAAGGTCTGCTATCCCACCCACGTGTGGTCATGAAGCCCCCACCCCAGCAGCAGCTGCACCTTGACCTCTGCCTCAGGTCACACACCCCTCACACCTGATGGGCAAGTGCTCTACTGCTGAGCTACGCCCAGCCCCTCTATTTTTATGAATATGTTCACATACATCTACACATTTTCCCCAAGGTCGCCTGAGCCACAAACCTTTTAAAGCTTTCTATAATTTTGTTTTTGAGAATCCCTGCAGTTTAACTCCAGAGCCAAAAGGAAGACATTAAATGAAAAAACAACAACAAACCTAAGTGGGAGATGTTTCTGACTTTGATCTGCTATTGGTTTCTATTTTATGGTCATGACCGGAACCTTGTCTTAACAGCCTTTTCAAATGTGGTGTTTCTCAGGGCAAATGTTCACGAGTATCCCAGGAGCACGTGAAGGATGTGGTCTCAGATTGCTGGGTACAGAGTCATCCGTCACTGCCACCCCCCTCCAGTGTCACTCAATCCTGGTCCCTTTGTAAGGTGTTACCCATGTGCTCCTGTCTTGGACCTCAGGTACCTTCCCGAAGCCAACACCACAGCCCCAGGGGAGCTCCCACTTCTGGTCAGAGCCCTCTGCCTTCAGGAAGCCCCCCGACTCCTCCTGTAACCCCTTGGTACCTTCTCACATCAGTCAGTTGACCTTCATCCTACCTCCAGAATCAGGCCACCAAGCCACAAGAGCAGGGATCCCCCATCCCTGGAACCAGATGCGCAGTACGCAGCTGCTGCTCACGGGCAGAGCTGGGGCCCACTCCAACACCGGCCTCGTTGGTCCCCTGGGCTCCTGAGGTACCTCCCCGTCAACGCCCACCTGCAACGCTGCCCTGGGCCCCCTCAGCTGGCACATGCACCCTGCTATCTCCCAGCTCCCCTCTTGCTCAATTCACCCAGATGCCATGCTCAGGTGACTGACAGTGCCAGGGAGGAGATGAAAAAGATGGTGACACTCCTGCTCAGGCATGATTAGGGGGCAAGCGAAGGCTCAGAGTCCAAGGCAAAGGCAGCTGGACGACTGCTCAGGTATTAGAAGCGGGAACCCCATAGGGTCAGGCAGGTGGTGGGGAGACGGACAACCTCCCCCACGGGAGGTGGACAATGCCCTGGCCTGAGCTGCTGCCCTCCCCTGCCCCCTCCCGGCACCCCAGACCTCCAGGCGCAGCCTGCCTTACCCGGCAGGATCTCGTTCCAGTTGATGCGGATGTAGTTATCCCGGTCGGCCCGTGAGTGTTCATGCCAGAAGCCCAGCACGTGCATGAGCTCATGCAGGACGATCCCCCGGCCCCTCCGGAGACAGGCGGGCGCCAGGGACACCACCTGCATCCCTCCGCTGCGCCCCACGCCCGAGAAGCACCTGCAAGACCAGAGAGCTGGCAGCCAGGCCCTCCCTCACACCCAGGCCCAGGACAGATGAGCAGATGGTCCCCTTCCTGGACTAGCCCCAGGTTTGTTGTCCCACTCCAGGTCCCTTGACTGCCTGGCCTTCTGTGAAATGGACACAATGAAGTCTCCTTAGCAGCCCGGCTGCCAGTAAGAGATGGGCACTGATGTCATCATGGAGAACAGAGGCTGCACCCAGAGCCAGTGGACCCGAGTCCAAGCTTCCACATGCACCAAGGCCTGGTGAGCTAGAATGCAGGGTATCCTACCACCCCCATCTCAGAGGCTCAGAAGATAGGGGACCCGGTCCACCTGGATGCCCACAGCACGTGTACCCCCGAGAAAGACCCCGAGACCTGCCCAGACTCACACCAGAGCCTCTAGCAGATGCGGGCTCTGCAGACAAGGGCCCAGCACCCACCCTGTCACCAGCTTCAGCCCTGTGGGCCCAGCACCCCTGGGGCAAACCCCTGGGGTGCACAGGGGGAGTCTGAGCCCAGGAAGAGGAGCCTGGAAACAGGCTGTCAACCCCAACCAGGTCCTACAAAAGAAAGCCGAGAGTCGCAACCCTAGAGCACTCACCCCGACATGGGGATGATGGAGATGAAGTCTCTCTGGCCCTGGTAGGTGACAAACCTGATGCAGGTGACACGTTCGAACTCCTCCAGCGCCTCCAGGATGACCTGGCGGCTGGGCTCATCTGGGGGAGACACGGCTTGGCTGAAGCCCCAGCTGAGGTCCACAGCCCTCCAGCCTTGTGAAGTCCACATGGGGGCTGGGAGTGGTGCTTCCGGCTCACTCCCCCCACCAAAGCTGTCAGACAGCAGCATCAGGGAAGAAGGCGGAGCTCCAGACAGACCCTAGCTGTATGACCATGTGGCCCACGGGGACCAGACAGTCCCATGTGAACCCTCTCCATCTCTCCCGGCTCAGGAGACCCTGGGGACAAAAGGACCCTCATAGAAGGGCCCTTTGGGGAGGAGAGAGGATGTGGCCACCCAAGGAAAGGGGGGGAAGCCCAGACAGGAGCCTGGCGCACGAGGAAGGGGCTGGGCCAGCAAGGGGCACTACACCCCACCTACTCACCATACTTGCTGGAGAGCAGGAAGGGGACCTCCACAGCACCGCTGGCACTCTTGGGCCACTTGTTGCTGGTCACTGACAATAGTCGAAAGGGACTCTGAGGAGAGAGGACATCTCAGAGATGTCTAGGAACACAGGCCACCCAAGTTTTGTGCCCCAAGGGTAACTGACCCCAGGCCACCAGAACCCTAAAGATGTGACAGGTGGGTCATGGTGTGTGGATAGAGAGGCCATTGGAAGAGGGACAGAAGCACAGGAAGTGAATGGGCCAGCCATGTGGATTTTTTTTTTAAGGTATTAAACCTGGGGCGCTTTACCACTGAGCCGCATACCCAGTCCTTTTTATTTTTTGAGACAGAGTCTTGCCAAGTTGCTGAGACTGGCCTTGAACTTGCCATCCTCCTGCCTCAGCCTCCTTAGCTGCTGAGATGACAGGTGCCACCACCACACCTGGCTCTAGCCATGTGAATTGTAATGCTCAACACCCAACCCTCGGTCCAGGATGTCACAGAACTTGTAACTCATTCTATTAAGTAGATAAAAAGAAGATTGGTGCCCGAGATTGGCCAGGTGTCCCAGGGCTGTGAGCTCCAGCCAGCAACCCCACCCTAGCACCCCAGCAGAGCACTCCACCCTCAGAGCAGCCCTGACTGTGGAAAGCAGATGGGGACAGGGACATTCAGGGTAATTCCAAGGCAATACCCTGGCCCTTGACATTCCCTCGTTTTCCCACCAACCAGAACTCTTGCAAGTGTAGGCTCCACAACTCCCAGCAGTCCTGCCCCAAAGGCCAAAGGGGGCTGCTTGATTTTGCTTGGGGTGGAGTGGGGTCACATGACCAGCTCCCTGCCCCTGGGCTTCACGTAGCCATGCTGGCCTCTGGCACAGACAACCAGGTGGGCTTGCTTCCCACCCCACACTGCCCCACTCAGGAGCCTCCTGCTGAGTGGCTTAGAATACAGTGTCGCTCTCCTGAGCACTGTCCCCTCTCCCCCAGCAGGCCAGCCCAGTTCCCCCAACCTCTTCCCTTCTCACTTGTCCCCTCGTCCTGGCTGCCCCTCACCCGGGTCACCGTGGCCACCCAGCTCGCCCCACCCCAGCCTCTCAGCCTGTGCCCCCGTCTCCTCCAGGGCTTCCCGAGTACCCCCACACACACCCTGAGCAGGGTACTGAACAGGGCCCGAGGGCTCCAACCTCCTCCAGGAAGCCCTCTTGGACTGAGGCTAGTGCCACTTCAGCTGTCACCCTCCCTTGGTTCAGGCTGCTTGTTCCCCATAGAACAGTCACCCTGACCTTGGCAAAAAGAAGTGTCTATCCAAGTATGAGAAACAAAGATGTCAAGCCCCCTGGACACCTCGGGGTGGGCACCAAGGGTGCTGTCCTCACGTGGACACACTCACCGGCCGGATGATGTCCCCCTCCACCAGGAAGCTGCTGTCTGGGGTCTCCTCCGGGATGAGCCCTGGGAGGAAGAGAGAAGGAAGTGTGTTGGCCCAGGCTGATCGGGACAGGCTCCGGCAGAGGCCTCCTTCAGCTTTGGAGCCAGAGTATCTCCAAGTGCTGAGACTGTGTGACCTCAGGCAGGTCACACGGCCCCTGTGAGTCCCAGTCTCCAGTCACACGTGATACCTCTTAGCCTGAGACATCCATCCCCTGCTCAAACACAACCCACAGCTCCCACAGTCCTGCGGTCCAGACCCAACGCCAGGTCCTTTGCTGTTAAGAGGTGGCCTCCCAGGTGGTCTCCCCTCCTGCCCAAGTCCCTCTGCTGAGGACCTGCTCCTCGTCTCCTGCTCACTTCTTCTTCCATCTGACCCCTATCCACTTGTCACACTCAGGTCCCCAGGTGACAGGAGAGGGAAATCCCGTTCACACCACCATGGAGTGGGGACAAGTGCCAGCTCCCACACGCCCCTCCCCACCTCAGCCGTCTCTGTTCCTCCTCTTTCTGGAAGCCATGGCGGCTTCTGCAAGTGACCTAAGGAGGGAGCCATCTCCAGGGGACCACGAGGGAAGCAGGAAAGGGCGGAGAAGAACACAGGTGGCCTGGTCCCACGGCAGCGCTGGGCCACAGACGGCACCCGGGCCTTGTCCCAAGGCAGCTCCCTTTGGCCAACGTTATGCTCAGGAAACAGGGACAGCTGGGCGGCTCCGGCAGCCATCACTTACAGGTGCTGTCAGTAAGGGGCGCTGGCCAGGGCGTGGGCAGCCATTAGCGAGGTGGCAGGTTCTCAGCTGTAGGAGCCACCAGCTCAGAGTTCTCTCCACAGCCTCTGATAGTCAACGCCAAGAAAGACGCTTGGCGATGGTACCTCCAGACCACCCATGGTGACCCGAGCAGGAAAAGGTGCCAGGGCTCCTAGTTGGCTCCAAGATGGCGCCCACAGCCATCAGACACCCACCCACCCCAGGGCCCAGATCATCTGTGCCTCCCCAATGCTTCAACCCCGACAGCTGTGACATGGGAACTCCCGTCTTCTTTTGTACCAGTTTTGTCCCAGGCTGCCTGTGTGCACTCAGTTTCAGCAGAGATCTCCAAATGGGGGGTACTGAGCCTTGGTACCCCCAGCCTGTCCCTCACGGGGTGCTTGAGGCATTTTCCAACATGTGCTGATGATAAAGCTCAGCGCCCAGGTCAGAGAGCCCAGTAACCTATACTTCCCTCAGGCCAATTTTTTAAAAGGCCTGTGGTGCTTACAACCCATTAGAAAAGACACAGGAAAAATCCATGTAAGAATTTGCCTTGAGCCAGGGGCAGTGGCACCCGCCTGTAATCCCAGCAGCTCAGGAGGCTGAGGCAGGAGGATCTCAAGTTCAAAGTCAGTCTCAGCAATTTAGCAAGGCCTGAAGCAATTCAGTGAGACCCTGTCTCTAAATAAATTAAAAAGGGCTGGGGATGTGGCTCAGTGATTGGGTACCCCTGGGTTCATTCCTCAGTACCAAAAAAGTACCAGAACCTCTACCCACTTAGAGCCCACTCAGCCAGATTCTGCCTCTCGGCTCTTTCTGAAGATCCAAGTGTTTTTACATCACACGAACAATGTCATGCCCCTCCAGGCCAGAGAGGACAATGTCCTTACCTTGGTTAATCGCAGGGATGTCCTTGTCCCAGGACACCTGGGTCCCTTCAGAGGTGAGGCCTTCTGGGACCCCAGTGTCACAGGCTCCTGGACATCTGAAGGCTAAGGATGCTCCAAGGATCCAACCTGGTCCAGTTGAAGGGATGCAAATACTTAGCTGCCCAGAGTGCCCCATGAGTGAGGCAGAAGGGGTGACACGGGGTGACTATGGGGTGCCAAACTGTAAGACCCAGCCCTTCATGAAGGATAGACCCCTTGTAGGAGTTGAGTATCACCTGGCCTCCCCACTCAGCCCCAATGGTGACAAGGCCTAGCCAACTTCAAGGAGGGAGGTCCCTTCCAGGACCAACACTTGGCTTAAAAATGCATGAGCTGCTATGTGGCAGAAGATGGCGGCAGGAGTGGGGCAGAACCGGGGCTCAGCTGCTAAGGACAGCGGCAGGGGCAGGGCTAGCCTCAGACCTGCTCTTCGGCTCCTTTTGTCAGCCCAGGCTTTTGGAAAATGGGCTCAGCATGGGTGACTCTTGCCCTGGCCAGGCTAGAGGGGGGACCCCCACCCCAAAACAAGTCGGTCTGTCTGCTGCCAGGTAGGGCCTCTGCTCCCAAGGCTTTCAGGAGGTCCCCACCACAGCCCCTAGGGGCTGACTTCCAGGAACACCCTGAAAGGTGTCATTAAGCTCAGTTAAGATCTCTGCAGCCGCCCTTACCCGGCCTCCCCATGGAGCCCTACAGGCTGGGTCCGTCAGGAGGGGGCAGGCAGCCAGCTTACCTGGCAAGGCCAGCAGAGCCAGCCCCCAAAGCCAGAGGCCTGCCATGCTCCTGGTGGTGGGTTCCTGCAGCCCCCACAGGCACAAGGACTAACCCTCATGGGATGAAACAGCCTGCTGGCAGGTCTCGGCCCACCGCCCCCATTAAATAGCTTTTCCAGCTCCCACCTGCAGCCCCTCCTCCATCTAAGGCCCCGCCTAGGCACCTCCAGCTGCAGCCCCTCCAACTACAGCCACCTTCACCTGTGGCCCTCCCAATAGCTTCCCCCTGCAGCCCCTCCCACTCCTACCTGTGGCCCCCACCACCAGCCCAGGCCTGAGCCTCTGGACCCTGGCCCAAGGCCTGATGGCTGAAGGGGATGAAGAGGCCTGGACATAGACTTGGTGGACTTGGGAGAGTGGCTCCCCGGAGATCCTCTGCCGCCAGCAGAGGGCAGAGAAATGCTGTGGGAAGGAGCTCCCTCGGGCACAGTGGAGGATCCAGTGCTGGAAGGTCCTCCTCCTGCAGCTCCCGGGCCCCTTTCCTGTCCCACCCTGGGCTCAGACATGGAAAAGCCACCTGAGTCCCCAGTGTATCTGTGGATGGAGGGAAAGGCCTCAGAGGCCTTATAAGTTTTGTTTTGTTGTTTTTTTAATCACGTAGAAAAGTGCACAATTCTAAGTGCGGGCTCTATGGACCAGCACACACCAAACACCACATCACCAGCATCCAGAGAAGCCTGCATGCGGGAGGAAGGAAACTTCTAGGTACTCAGACCCTCATATGGACCCACAGCAGTCCTGCACTACCAGCCAGTGTTGCTATGTCACAGATTCAGAAAGTTCCTTACCTATCTTCCTCCTCTTCATCACTAGCCAGGTCACCCAGGGACCCCATCTGGATTGAAATCCTGCAACAAGTCAGCCCTGGTCAGGAACTGGGGGCACTCAGAACCACACTGATGCCCAATGAAGGAAGTGACAGGCCTGAGGAGCCTGGCTTGGTCCACTAGGGCTTCTCACATTCCCACTCTGCCTGGAGTCCAGCGATTCTCAAGACAGAATGGGGATCCCAGGGAAGAGGAGAGAAGGCACCGCCCTGCTGCCCGGCAGGGTGCTGACAGCTGCCCTCGCCCGGGATGGGTATGCTGACCGGTTTGTTGTGATCATCATTCACACTGAATCCATGTGGCAAAGCCCCGTGTTGTACACCTATAACAAATGTTGTCAATTACACCTCAATACTATTGGGGGAAAATAACATTAAAGAAAATGCATGGAACTGACCGCTTCACCTGAGTGCTCAGAAAAAGAAAAGAAGAATCACCCTGTTCGGGCAGAGAAACAGATTCTTGTAAGAAATGCAGCTCACCTGTAGGACATTCTGACAAATGAACTAAGCCAGTCACAACAAAACTGCAAGATCCACTTATTGATGGACCTAGAGTTGTCAAATCCATAGGCAGAAGTTGAAGAGGGGCCACCTGGGGCTGGGGTTGGGGACTTAGTGTGCAATCTGCAGATTTTCTGTTTTGCAAGATGGGAAGTTCTAGAGGGCTGCACACGGCACTGTCTGCACCCAACAACTACTCGACTCTTAAAAGGGTAATAATCGGTGGGATGACTTGGACATCATTACCCCAAGTACATGTATGAAAACATGAGTGGTGAAAACTCTACTTTGTGTTCAATCAGGGACATGAAAAATTGTGTAATATGAATTGAATTGCATTCTGCTGTCATATATTGCTAATTAGAATAAATAAAATAAAGGTTAAAAATGGTAATAATGGTACACTGTTGTTTTTATCACCACTATTAAAAATAAGCCAGGTGCTGTGGCACTCACCTGTAATTTCAGCATCTCAGGAGGCTGAGGCAAGAGGATCGCAAGTTCAAAGCCAGCCTCAGCAACTTAACAAGGCCCTAAACAACTCAACAAGACCCCGTGTCTAAATAAAATACCAAAAAGGGCTGGGGATGTGGTTCAGTGGTTAAGTAGCCCTGAATTCAGCACAAAAAAAAATAAGAATAAAAAACTGGGTCCCTAACTATTGAACACAATGCCCTCCCAAAAAAAACCAGGCACTCAGAATGATGGAAGACAGTTTTTGGGGGAAGGGGCAGAGAGGTTGAGTGAGTCCGTGAGGACAAAATGGAGAGGGCTGGGTGACACTTTGAGAGGCTTGAAGTGTCATGGTGAGGCTCCCGCATGGCCACCCCCTTGGGCTCAGCACTCCTGCTCCCTGGCAGATCACAGCACGGGCCCCAGCCTCAGCACGTACCCCTCTGCTTCTGGCTTGGGATGGTTCCCTGTTTCAGGTGTCCACAGACGCTATGTGCTGTGCTGGGCACTCACCTGATGTTCAGTGAGGACACGCTAGTGGGGTGGGTATGAAAGCTACTAATCCCTAGTGATATGTCCCCTCATCACACACCGGGCCACATCTCTTCTGGGGACAAGAATGGCTCTGAAACAGGAGTTCCTATGAACCCCGGCCGGGGTGAGGCCTGGGGGCACAGCCCAGCCTGGACAAGCCCAGGTGAGGCCTGGGCCTGGCCAGGGCGAGGGGGGCGGGGGTGCGGTGAGAGTTGAGAGACTGCTGCTTCCTTCCAAGCCTTCCCCAAGAATGAATGAACTTGAGACTAGACACTCAGGGAGGTTTGTTTTGTTTTTTTTTAAACAAAACAATATTTTATTGACACGTCCACAATGTTCTGTATAAATATAAAGTGCTAAGTTTCCAACCCCCGCCCACAGGGCTGGGAGGAAGTGGGGGGAGGGAGCCTTAAATGTCAGTTGAACACAAATAATTTTCCAGCACCAACATGGGCGGGCAAGAAACGCTCACGTATGCGTAAGCAAGAGTTCAGAGGTCTGGAACATGACACACGCCTCACTTTCCAAGTTCCTAGCTCCCCCAGGAGCTTGGCTCGGGCTCCAGGCCCCAGAGCGGACACCCCTAGACAGGGATCCCTGTTGTCACAGCTTGTTCCTTAGGGCTCTCAGGCTGCCAAAGGTTTCAACATGGTGAAGGGACCAGAGAGTCCATGAATGTAGAGTCCAGTCGTTTCTACCACAGGAGTGGAGGGGAGAGCAGATGTGCCTCTGCTCTGTCCCCTCCTAAGGGCCAGCCCTTGAACTCCCAGCAGAAGAGCACCAGGTGGGAAGGCCAGTCCCCCAGGGGGTGCAACAGGCCTTCAAAGATGAGGGGGATGCTCTAGGCCATCGGGAGCCCACCTGTCCCAGCTCGGCTCCTCCTAGAAATCCTGAGGGCCAACGTGGTAGGGAGGCAGGCAGAGGGTCCCTGCCTCAGTGACACAGCACCTGAGTCTCAAACTGCAGCAACTGCCCCATGAAACTGAAGTTGGGGGAGATGACTCCGCGGCGTTGCTTAACAAAGTCGAAGGCCTCATCCAGCCGCACCCGGCGGCTCTGTATCAGGTACGCCAGGCAGATGGTGGCAGATCGGGAAATGCCCGCTTGGCAGTGGACCAGCACCCGGCCTCCGCTGTTCTTCACCAGGTCTGCAAAGGAGATGAGGACGGGAGTCAGCTCGGAAGATGCCCAGGCGAGAAGGCGGCGCCCTCAATCTCCTCCCCTGAGGTTCCTCTTACCGATGAAGCCTATGGCCTCCTGGAACCAGGCACTGATGTCCACCATCTGGTTGTCCTCCACCGGGATGCTCTTGTAGAGGAAAAGGCCCTCAAAGTGGTTGGGGCAGCTGGCAGAGACGTTGAGGACGGCTGTGATGCCACAGGCCTGCAGCCCTTGTAGGTCAGAGGAGTGGCTGCAGCTGCCCAGGTACAGGTAGGGCAAGATCTCCACCGGTCCACCCTGGAGGAGAGAGGGGGTGGTGAGACCTCCTCAGCCTTAGAGGACAGTGTGAGCCAGACAGGGCAGAGACACAGACTAGCCCCAGACAAGAGGAGCCCTGGGCCAGACCCTGACCAGAGACACATGTCAGGAATGTGAGAAGGACACAAGGGGACACCATACAGATACACACTCACAAATTCGCCCACCCACTTCATTCCCCAAAGTACCCGTGAGAACATAACCCATGCCCTCTGCATGTGGCCACACACACACACAAACACACACACACACAGAGGCAGACTCCTCGCTCTCCCCAGAGGCTAGCCAGGGGAGGGAGGGCAGTGACAAGAAGCCCTGATCTCAGCTCACCTGGTCATAGATGGGAACCCTGAGGTCGGAGCTACTGGTTTCGGTGGCTGTGGGGGCCAGCGCCGGGGCAGGGGATTCAGAGCACAGATCGGGACAGCAGGACTGGAAGCTGTCGAAGCCTCCTGCAGGAAGAGCGCGGGCAGGTTAGCCAGGAGGGCCGGGCAGGGCTGGCCAGGGCCGGGCGCGGGCAGGCGGGCGGGCTGGGGTCTCACCTCGCAGGAAGCACACGGCGGTGGCCCCGGCGCGGGTCTCGTGTAGCAGCGCCGAGAGCAGCAGGTGCGCGGGGCCATCGGGCCGGAGTTCTGCCACCGAGGCGCTGCCTTCGTCCAGCACCACCGCGCGCGCCAGTTCCCCGCGGGCCAGGCGCGCCAGCAGCGCGCGATCGGGCAGCAGGCAGGCGAGGGCGGCAGCGGGCGGGCCGCGCGCGCGGCGCCGCAGCAGCGCGTTCCAGGGCACAGGCCGCGCGGCGCGCACGTGTCGCCGGCAGAAAGCTAGGAAGGGGCGGCAATCGAGCAGCAGTGTGCGCTCGGCCTCCCGCGGCTCCCGCAGCAGCGCCCCCAGCGCCGCGCACTCCAGCTCCCGCGCCGCCTCCAGCCCCATGCCGAGCCGCTGCCCTTCGCCTCTGCCTCTCTCGCCTATCGCTCGTCTTCCGGGCTCCGCGGCGCTCGCTCAGCCCGATCTATCGCCTCTGGGCACTCGCTGCCGCGCCCGGGCTTAAGTACTGGGGGGCCGGGCTCCCGGGTCACCATACAAGGGCAGAGCAGGAAGGCGCCGGCGCCGCCCCCGCGGCCTCACGTGGGGCGCAGGCCGGGCGGCCCGGTGCCCCCGGAGCGGGCTGGGGAGGGGAGCCCCAGGGGAGGAAACCGGGGCCAGCTCCTAA